AATTATTTCATGTTTATTGTAATACTACATCAATTTGCTAAAAGCAGAACTACGTTTTGTATAAATATTTTCAACCTAACAGTTTTACAGTAGTTTACACGTACAAAGGCGTCATCATACATACAGGTTTTTGTCATAAGTAACTAACACAGACTAGAATGTTTGTCTCTTGTTCAGCTTTATGTGAACTGGGAGAGTCAACAGAGCTAGTTCTATCGTCTCAGCCTCATTGATTGAAATGCCTGGTTAACAAGTTGTAATATAATAAAGAAGAAGAAGAAGAAAAGAAAACTATCATTGGCATGTGAAAAAATTAATGTGTCCTATGAAGTTAATCGAAATGTTTTAATAATTATCTAATTATTTTTCTATCCACGCGGAGCAACAGCAGGAATTCAAGATTAGAAGCACTACTTAACGAGTGTGTGTATGCTTGTGTGTGGGCGTGTACGTATATGTGCGCGCGCGCGCGTGTTGATCAATGTGATTATGTGCATGTATGAGATTATTTTCGCTTTGGATGTGTGAACCGAGTAACAGAAAGAGAGAAAGACAAAAGGGAACCAAAGGAAAGAACAGAAAGTGTTTTTATCGCGCTTTCATGCTCCGCCTGACGCTGGCTTTACTCGACAAACTCCTTTACACAAACTTTGTCCCATATCCGTGCGTATTTTTTTGTAATAACGCCGCCACTTAACAGAATTTCCAATATATACCTTACCAATTTACGTAAAATTTATAACGAATGTATATTATTTATCAACATCCTTCCTATTTCCTGTAATTTCAAATGCTTCTTTTAAACATACTCATCAGCAAGCACCAGGACACGTGCAAACAAAAAGCCTTACACAACAGCATCAACCTGAGAATATAACTGTCCCTAATCACTTCATTTCAATGTGCGTGTCATCCTATACAAATATACACAAAATATATTCATCTTATCTAGCAAGTACATCGTCTAATCACCAGTGACTCAATGCATTTACAAAAGAATTAGTCCTAGGCTCGGTTTGTTGATTATACTTTAGTCTGAAGCCAAGAGGCAGAGAGAAGGTCTGGAAACAGAGCTTGTGAGATGCCTGACTAGGTCGCAGTATTTGGAACAAAGGTAAATACACTGCCGTTGGGAACCTCTCACTACACTCCTTTCAGAAAGGGCTAACTTGCAGTTTACACCTAGAAAGGCTTCTGCATGTGATCTACGCATAAGAAGGTACCTGCGCACAGTTGACAGTTAAGGGAGGTACCTACCTTAAGTTTACACTTACTGCAGGGGCCCTTAGAAAATGCAGGACATATTATAAAAAAGTACATGCTTACACGTAATACTTACAAAAGCTATATGCAATCTATAATTAAAGACGGTTCTTGAAACAGCCTGTATAGAAAGAGACCATGTAATTCTACATCCATCTGGCCATTCACATTTTTACCTACATAATAAAGTAATTATAAAGCCTACGTTAGTCCATTCACGCAGTCAGTTCCTGGCCATCACTAAAATAAAATGCATTTATTGTGAAAAACCGAACGTGATGCATATACCTTCATATAACACTCATGTCAGAGCTTATGTACTATTTTTCTATTTTCTGGCGACATTCATGCAAAAATGCATAAATAAATGGACCTAGTTCCGCCAAACAGAATAGGTTCCTTAGCCCTAAAGAGTAGAACACATAACTTTTCGTTGTATTTGAACCATTGGATTGTGGACCTTTATCTTCACTGCCGGCAGCACAGAGAATGCAGTCAGCCTCTGGGAACATTATCACGTTACCACTCAAAGCAGCACGCACAGTGACCAATGCTGGCAGCTTGGAAGTCTACGCCACGAGGACCTCATGGCAACGTTTCTTTCAAGATATCATATATTAACATTTACCTGGTGCAAGCCTCTGTAACGAGATTCAGGGGTTAGGATACAGAGATCAGAGAAATATTCATTCATGAGTCTTTGGAGGCGAAGAAAGTGATACGAATAGAGTTGCAACAAATATTTTTTCTGTTCACCTCTCTATGCTAAATGGGCATAATGAAGAAAATCATTAGGACTTTTTTTAAGTTCCGGGATTAGCAGTGAGGGACTTTATAAATTGGGATGATTAATCTTCAAGGGTAGAAAATAAACCTTCATTAGCCTGGCCACAGATGAAACCAGCTTTGCATTTTCATTCGTAAAAGCTGAAACAAACATCAACTTATAATTCTCAAGTTAATCCATATTAATTATATGATTTCCACCAATATCAAAACATACAGTACATACACTATTATATTTTATTTTCCAAATAACACCTCATAAACGACTGAACAGAGAAAATCGAAAGTGGGTCAAGAAAATACGCTGATCAGACGATAATCTGCTCAGTTCGGTTCCGGACATCGCCCCCTACCCCCTCTTCCCCCTCCCACTGCACCCACACTCGCTCGGAATGCAGTGGCCGTCTTGCTGTGATCCTCGTCTGAGCCTAGATCACGACCCATGATCTTAGGTCGTTACGGTTTAGCTGGGAGAACCCTAGCCTGCTCTCGCACTGACGTACATATTGTACACATCACTAAGAGTGAAGATGGTAGGGTAGGAAGGTACGCGGTTATTATATGTAAATAAAAATAACAATCTTGAATGAACGTTGAAAATGGGATTCTTGGTGGGAGAATGTATTTTGGACCTATTATTTAAACAGCATTGATAGAACCGTAGACTTGAAAAGGCAAAAAGGCAAATAAACTCTCTGCACTGATCATCAGAAAAAAAATGATCTCAGTCTTATATCGTATTCCTGATTTCACTATATTACATGAGGACATTGCAACTTGGATCGAAAGAAAGTTATCTTTAGACATTTACTAAAAAGACAACGAGAGAATTTTATTCCTGTCTTACAGTGGCAGGCAATATAGTTCAAACGTAAATGTGCAATTCATGGCAATCATCTGACTATTCGTAAATAATTCAATTGGTGCATGTCACTGACTCTTTAGTTATGATTAACATTTTTAGCCAAAAGGTCTGAGGTTTGTATTATGTATGGAATAGTAAACCCGCTGCTGTTTTCTGCTTTTATGTGTGAAGGCCAAGGAAGGAGAATTATAAAAGAGAGATAGAGAGAGAGAGAGAGAGAGAGAGAGAGAGAGAGAGAGAGAGAGAGAGAGAGAGAGAGAGAGAGAGAGAGAGAGAGAGAGAGAGAGAGAGAGAGATAGAGAAGTGGAGGGAGGGAGAAAGCGACAGAGAGTGAGAAAGAGAGAGAGAGAGAGAAGTGAAGGGAGGGAGAAAGCGCCAGGGAGTGAGAAAGAGAGAGAGAGAGAGAGAGAGAGAAGTGGAGGGAGGGAGAAAGCGACAGAGAGTGAAAAAGAAGGTGAGAAATGTCATAACTGGAGATGTTAGACATCTTTCAATTTCCTTTCCATTTCTGTCACCGTGACTTCCAATTGCGTCGCCAGCTGTTACATTCTTCACAGAAGTTCAAATAAATCCCCACTGTTAACCTTCATTCAGTTATATAGGTAATAAGTGAATAAACATGGTATGATCTTCATTGAGATTTCTTAGCACAGACATATGTTTTGGAATAGAATGACTAGAACTGTTAGTTAAGAAAATAAAAGTCTTAACCTATGATAATTCACAGTAAAGAAGAAGAAAAAAAATTATCATCAGCCTACACTCATAACAAATTTTCATATTCATTTTTTTTTCTGGGGAGAATATGCCGAATAAGGTTTATTATACATTAAGATATAACATTTTTAACATATATTTCTCTAGCATTAGGTACAGTCCATAGGACCACTTCACAAATCTTCGCAGCCATCCCGCACACGGAGTCACTCACTACTTCACTGGGAGACACACAACATCTCGACCTGAGTAAAGGAACCATGATGGCCAGTCTTGTTGATTTCGGTTGCCATGGTTACCAGAGGACAATCAGGACGCATAACACTCATAATTGCACAAGTAGTTTTCTAATCTATTTATAATAGTCTTTAAAAGTGTTCTGCGATGTATTTCTTTATTTTATGCTGTACAAAGGACAATAATATTTCACATACCCACTAAGATACTGACCATATTAATCATCATAATATGCGATTAGATCTATTTTGCTGAAATGGCTTTCACTGCACATGAAGTCAGCATTTTCTATTGGACAAGAACGTCTCTGAAACTTCATACTGCATGGCGCCAAGCACAACAGCACTGTTTATTCATGACATCCTGCCATCATGCTGGAGTCCAATTTGGCACTGATATCTGTTATCATATGCAACGATAATGACGTGACCTTCATTAGCTCGAAGCGACACACTTGTACGACCTTCGACCTAGTTTTTCATTTACCTGATATCACATTTGCGACCGTGTCCAGTAATACTTTTTTCGGGCTGTGTTATCGGTACTATTTCTTCGTTATCTCACTGTTTAGAAGTAGCAAAACTATCTGCATTAATGCCTAGGAACACCGAAGATACGTAGGTAACACGAAATGCAAATCATCGTTGGCACTGTGTACTCTCTGCGAGTGGCACTTCACAGTAAAGTACTGTTAACTTACAAACTGGTTTCAGATCACTCATAGAGGTATTTCAGATAATCACGCGGGGCGTTTACAGAGCTACCATCACAGTCGAAATTTTCCACCCGCGTGTGAGGACAGTGATATTGTATGGCAACGTTCTCACTGGGACGAAATAGCGGTGGAGTCAGGAATATATGTAATGATTTTTTACCAAACCTTGGTCGCTGATTTTGCTTCTAAAAGGACGCTACAACGGTATTTGGTAGCAGCACGTACAGCATACGATGCCGCCTCGACACCACGTAAGAACGAGCTCAGCCTCAAATGGCAGGTGCAATATTTGAACAACAAACAACATGGGAGCAACAGACAACTTTGGGTTGGGGTTACGATTTCTCGGGCGCGATAGACATTTTTTGGATAACATTCTTATAAACTTTTTTTTGTAATTATTAAGAACTTGAGTGT